CGCAATCTTTGGTTATTAGTCTTAGGTACTTGTATTGGTACTGCTTTATTGATTTGTCTTATAGAAAAAAAAGATAATGAAATATTTCAAAATCGATCAACATTATCTCAATTAACAATAAGTATTTGGTATTCTTTTGGTAATATTGTTGGATATGGTGTAGATTTTAATGTTAATACTGCTGCTGGACGTTTATTAACTGCTGGTTTATATATGTTAAGTTTAATATTAGTAGCTACATATACTGCAAATTTAGCATCTTATTTAACAATATCAAAATCAAAAGATATTATTTCGGGAATAAATGATATTAAACATGGAAAAATTTCATTTAATCGTATTGGTATTCGTACGGGTACAGCTAGTGAAGATTATTATCTAAGAGAAATATCTTTTGGTAGTCGAAATTATTATCCATTAAAATCTCAACAAGATTTATATGATAGTTTACTTGCTGGAATTATTGATGCATCTTTTATGGATAGTGGTGTTAGTGAATATATTACTAATAATATTTTTTGTAATTTAACTTTAGTTGGAGATGATTTTGAAAAAGGAGTTTTTGGAATTGTTACACCAAAAGAATGGTTATATACTAAAGATTTAGATGTTAATATTTTATTATTAAGCGAATCAGGTCAACTTGATGATTTACGACAAAAATGGTTTCAAAAACGAAATTGTCCTAGTTTAAATGGAATATCAGTTTCCATGGAAATTAATTCAATGAGTGGATTATTTTTAATTTTTGCATTAATTACTTTTCTATCATTATTATTATTTATATGGTCGAAACGATTTATCATTAAAGATAATTTATTTAACTTATTACATCGAAAGAGATTCTCATTGAAAAAGAAAGTCAATATTATAAAGCACTCAAATAAAACATCAGACAATACCAAAAACTCTGTAATACTTTCATCTACTATTGTACAATTTCGACCATAAAACTCTCTTTATCTTTGTTTACTAGAGAGTCGATCTACTTCTATGATGTTATTTTATTTTTCATAATCGAAACGGTATTTTAAAAATGCCAGGAAAATTTTGGCGAACAGCATATTAAATGTTGAATTTGAACATCTTTTTTTTTGATTGAACTCATGATCTTGCCTAAGATATGATACAATAATTGTGAATAACTTTCACTAATTGAATTCTAGTTTTGTTAAATAATTTTGATGTCTTTTCATTCAATGTAGTTTGACCGCATGTTAATATGAATGCCATTTGGAATTATCATAATGAAATTTAATGACATGTACACCAGATGCTAACATTTTCTTCCTATTTTCGTCTATAAAGTAGTTTCAAGTAATAATCAATTTAACAGAGGTAATTGATATTTTTTTTCTTCTCTAACAGACTGACTTTGCCATATATGTAATACTTGAAACTTGAATTCAAGTATTCAAGTATTCATCTATTCAACTATTCAAGTATTCATCTATTCAACTATTCAAGTATTCATCTATTCAACTATTCAAGTATTCAACTATTCAAGTATTCAACTATTCAAGTATTCAACTATTCAAGTATTCAACTATTCAAGTATTCAAGTATTCAACTATTCAAATTTTAACTTCTCAAGTGTTCTACGAATATTCAGTGGGAAAGCGCGTTCTCCACCTAACACACCTTTTATTTCAGCGTCGCGGCGTGGGGGCGCGAAGAGCCGCGACCCATGTACGTCTCTGTGTACACCATTATTCCTACTCAGTGCTGCACATTAGCTGAAGCTTCTTACATACTTCTTGTAGCATCCCAGATAATGTCTTCAGCATCTCAACCCAAAGCTGTAGTATCCTAGGAAATGCTTGTAGCATGCTAGGTGATGCTTGTGACATTCTAGGTGATACTTGTAGCATCGTAGGTGATGCTTGCAGCATCCTAGAGGATGCTTGTAGCATTCTAGGTGATAATTGTAGCATCCTATGGAATGCTTGTAGCATCATAGGGGATGCTTGTAGTCTCACAGACAATACCTGTCGATATTAGATGATTCTAGTAGCATTCCAGCCGTTAACTAATTGAGTACTTGAATACTTGAATAGTTGAACTAATAGCTGAATACTTGAATTCAACTTTCAAGTTTGACACTACTGCATCTAAAACCACTAGATCCAAATTTTTAGCTCATGTGGATGTACTATAGAAAAGTTAGCCCAGGCCGGCTTTGAAGCACTACCTAGGGTGTGGGTGTGGAATGTGCAGGTGGGTGGGTGTGGCTGTGGATATGTGAGTGTGGCTATGGCTGTGGGTATGAGTGTGGATGGGGATGTTGTATGAACTTACACTGACACCTACATACACATCCACACCCTCCCATACCCACACTCCATGCTCGCATCCACAACCACCCACCCACACCTACTCCCGCGCCCACTCACACCCACCGACATCCGCACTCAGACCCTGAAAAGATAATTTTAATTGAAGAAAAATAGTTCATCATTAGTTTAGATCTTGGACGGCTGTTTATCGTAAGTATCCATGTTCTACTCTCCTCCGCATTTATTCAATAGATTTCGATGACTCGAGACTGGGACATCTACCAAAAAAATTCTTTTTATTTTGATCCCCTCGGTTCAAATCGTTCGACTGGTCCAAAACACCAGTTTTTACCATCCCATCACTGAGCCCTCAACTTATTGAAAAGTGAAAATCCGAGCACTCTGTTTTAAATTTAGATGGCCACAACAACCTCAAATCGACGCGTGGAAATAGTTATCGGATGGTCACTTGGATGAATCATTTTCGTTTGAGAAAGTTTTTAAACTTTTATCTAGGAATAGGTGAGTGCGAGTATCGATGAAGAAAAGATCCACACCTCTATACTCACGCGTTTTTCTATAATAAGTACGGTGATCCACCCTCACATGAATTTTGTGTTGAAACTATCTCTTTGTTAACCCTTTCTTGCCGAATGGCAGCTATAGGTGCCATGTTTCAGATTGTTGAAGAAGGACCAGCACTTATTGCAAGAAATGTAAATTTTGGCTCTGTTATGCTGAAACTAATCATTTCCAATTATATCATCGACTGGAAGAATAGATCTTTCAAACTCAATTTATATACTACAGCAAATGACGATGTATGAAGTGAATGCAATTATCGTATGCGTACGATAATAGTACCATAGTGTTTATTCTGCTGTAACTTTCATAGGTTTTTGAGAATACTTCCTATTCCGCGATGTTGCACATTGCGAAACCACTTCCATCACCGGAATCAGTTCCATCCAATTCCCAGAACTTGATCGTCATTGAACCTGAGAAGTCCACTTACCATTGATCGAGTTCCATCAATTCAGGTAATTCCGAAATTCAATCCAATTCCGAAACTGCACAGAATTTTTACCGATTTCGGAACTGTGCAGAATTCCTGGAAATTCCTACCGATCCCGGAATTCCGAGAATTCGAGCCGATTCCGGAATTCCTGACCGGAATTAAGTCGCTTCCTCACCCTCATGCATACCGATGTGCTTAAAGATTAATCCTTTCAATTACTACGGAATTTCGGTACGGAATTCCTGGAATTGAGTCAAGACGGAATTGCACGTAATTCCTACCGATTTTGGAATTCCGAAAATCGAGTCGAGAGGAAATTCCTGGAATAGATGGAACTCGATCAATGTCGAGTAGTCCTATTATTTTGTTGACGGTCGAGTTCTCGGAACCGGACGGAACTGATTCCGGGGGCGGAACTGGTTCCGCAATGCTTAACATTGCGGAATAGGATGACTGCTCAGGTTTTTCTATACAATAAAAACTACCAAACATTCAATTCGTCAACTATACAGCATTTAAGTAATGTGATTCAAACTTTTTTTGCGCATATTAGGGACCATAGTGATCATATTACCAGACGAATTTCAGTTCCAGACCGTAAACTTTAGTCACGGGTAAGAAAGGGTTAAAATATTCGAATTGTTTATTGTTTTCAGCGGATTCTCACACCAATTTACTGCCGCAGAGCGCAATTTTTTTTGCTGTCGTCTTTCGATGAGAGGCAGAAACAAGAACGCCAAAAACGACGCCGTCCGTCAGAGAGAAAGAGAAAAATCATACAGTACTTGGGCACCCACAACGGAAGAGGGAATGAAGATTGATCGACGTGATGGTAAAAAGAAGTGCTTTATTTTTTTCAAGTATACTGCTTGTTCAACAGTGTTTTGTTCGACTTTAAATGTGACTGAGAAGTAATCACTAGTGAAGCTTTCTTAAACCTTTGGCCGCAGGAATATCATATATGATGCCTGACTATTAACGGTAACATCTATTCAGCTAATAACATAGTTTGTCGTCTCATTTTTTATCTGTTTTTCTCTTCTTCTATAATCTCTCACTCTCTTATCATGGTATACATCCAGTTGTGTTCTTCTGCTAGATATATGTGTCAGATACAGAGATATGTTTCCACTAACAAACAGGTTAGGAGTGTTTGTTTCGACTTCTGTTCCAAGGAACGCGAAATCCCAAACGGGTGTGGATGTGGGTGTATGTGACTGTGGCTGTAGGTGAAGACACGAAAAACACTCACACTCACACACATATAGGTCCATGCTTTCACCTGATATCATAGCCACATCCATAATCACACCCACATTCATCCCACGTTCACATCCATCCACACTGACACTCCACGCCAGCACCCACATCCACACCCTACACCGACACCGACACCCACACCCACACCCACACCCACACCCACACCCACACCCACACCCACACCCACACCCACACCCACACCCACACCCCAACCCATACAAATGACATTCATCTTCTTCCATCTGATGGTCAACAAAAACAAAGATTCGATTAACAGTTTCGTTTTTACATTTATTCATTACTTTTTGTTGTAAGAGAAAAAAAACTCAAAATCAACACAAGAAAAACATTTATTCAGTCTAACATCATTGCGTCGCATTTTTGTAAGTTATTGCTTTAACTTCGCAAAAATAATTGTATTTTCATCAATATTTTTATACAGATATATGATGAATCGTTTTGCTGATATTAATTTGTCGTTCAAAAAACTGCCCCCTGTTTATGGTTATCGAAGCCAAAAACTAGTTCCAATTGAAAAAGCATTAGAAAATATTATGTCTGAAATTGATGAATTACCATATTATATAAAAACTGCTAAAAAATATTGCCATTTTCCATCCGAACATGGTTTGACGCGTGATGAATCTGCTGCTATTTATATTTATACAATGGAATGGGACGAAACTAGTCTATATCGTGTATTAAATAAAGCTTTACGATCAGAAAATCGACAAGCATTAAAGATATGGTTTCCTTACTTAAAATTATTTGATACAGCATTAGATAAATTACCTACTGTGAAAGAAGTTGTATGGCGAGGTGTGCCTCTTCACATTGGCAAAAGTTTCACTAAAAATCAAATGATAACATGGTGGACTATTAATTCATGTTCATCCTCGGTTGATGTTATCAAAAATTTCCTTGGAAATGATAGAAAATCAACTTTGTTTTTAATCGAAGCTGTTAATGGAAAACAGATTTCTGCTTATAGTGCTCTTGAAAATGAAGATGAAGTTATTTTACGAATGGGAACAGAATTTCGTGTGAAAAGCAATGCTCTAGATCATCCTTATGGTTCACATGTCGTACATTTGATCGAAGTCGATGATAATAATGATACACCAGTGATATCGGATATGAATGATATGCATATAGCTTCAACATATGAAGATCAAGACGCTTTAGGTAAGGCATGGTTACTTTCTCTAAAGAAACTAAAGTCTTTGAAAGATTTGATGATTGAGATAAATATGTAAAGTATTTATCGAGGTCATTCTGTAGTTTGCTAATGATAGTATTTCAATGCCTTGAGAAGACCAATGGTCAATATGTTTTTGATCATATTGTATAGTCGAACCACTCTTATATGGGTATATACTATCAATATTTGAGTCAACATATTGTTCTTTTTCTTGAGTGTGGGGTGTGGGTGTGGGTGCGGGTATAGGTGTGGGTGTGGATGTGAGATGTGGATGAAGCAAAGAATCATATCCACATTCACACCCACACCTCACACCCACACCCCACACCGACATCCTCCACCCACACCCACACCCACACCCTCCACCCACACTCACACCCACACCCACCCACACCCCATCACACCCACACCCACCCACACCCCACCCTCCTGTGTCGTAAGGAAAAAAGAAATAAGAATAATTAAAATGAAAATAATTCAAGTGTATATATTTACAGATTCGCACAATCAATCATATCGAACAGAGAACCAGGATTTTGATTTAATTAATGCATCAGGTCATCGTTTTCAAGATGAAGGCGATGATCATAGTGCTGAAAATTCATCTGAAATATCGGAAGATGAAGAATATCTCCAAGCAACACCAGGAAAGCATGTGAGAAATTCTGAAACTTTATACATGGCAAACGCAACACAATCCAAATCAAAAAATAGATTATTCGATCGTACTGAAGACGAATATCATGTATGTCGTACGTGTGGAGAACAATTTCCTTCAAGAAATAAATTGTATCACCATCTTCGAACAGAATGTGAAGAAGCATAAAACTTGTACAAATGAAACGTCTATGTTTATCCATCAAACAACTCATTTTCACTCTAGAATATGAATATTATTAAACTGAATTAGTATTTCTACCATAGTGAACAGTTTTTAAAAGAATTATATTATGCATATACAATCGAATTTGACTACTCTTGACACCCATACACTGTCGAAATCAGTCGCGGATCAAGACCATACATAGGCTGTGTAAAGAGGATTTGTCAAGTGAAACGCACATCAAAATAGTGCAGAATGGTCTAGTTTTGTGTTTTATGATCTAACAAGCATATCCTTGCATGTATTTTTTCTTAATTTATCATTGGCTTGTCGAAAACTTCCATGAACAACGTTAGTAGGTGCCATAAAAAGATTGAAAGGATAAGGATGAGTTCAAAGTCTAATAGTACGAAACAAGTGTCGGCCGCTAAATTTTTGCGATCGAACATTCTTCTCCAAAGTCTCAATAATCATTGGAACAGATATCTACTATGAATGTTTTCATAAATGCGAATAGAATGAATAGTTATTGTAACTAAAATTTTCAAAATATTACGTTCGAAAGATGATAAAAATAATTTACATTATTCTAGAAATAAATAGTCTTTTGATTCATTACACGAATATCATCGAAAGATGAGGTTCCGTAAAATAATATAAATTCAACTTTCACTAACATCAAATATTCCATCAAAAGACTTCAATACTATTGAACAAGAAATATTTCCACAAGAAATTACAACATATTCAAAATTATTTTCATTCGAAGTATTTTGTTGGAAACTTTCTTGTTTTCTACACGGTAATTTGAAATAAAAAAACTATTTTTTTAACCATAGGTACTAGTTGAACAATATTTCATATATAGTATTTAACAAAGGGTGTGGGTGTGGGTATGGGTGGGGGTGTTAGTGTGGGTGTCAGTGGGTGAAAACAAGTTGAACACTCACACCCACACACCCACACCCACATCCCACACCCACACACGCCCAGCTGGTTGAGATACATTAGATGTGACATGTCTCGTCACTGGCACAAATTGCCCAACGAATTGGTTAAGGAAATACTCAACATAACTCATACAAGAAGAAAGTTTAGCGATTTTAGAATTTGAAATTGAATGTTTTTCACAATATATAGGGTGTCCAGAAAGTAACTCCACAAAGAAAACTTTGAATACATATCTCTACCATATTTTGACCAAATGAGCTGATATTTTTACTACTGATAGAAGAGTATACATAGTTCATATTTAGAAGAGAATAGTTGTCAAAAACTGCTTTAAAGTAGTACAACTAATTTCAAGAAAAAACTATAATATTTTTCAAGTTATGAAAAAACAATGTATTTCTTCTATTAGACAAGAATTGATGACATCTTATTTTTTGGTTACTTCTTCATACTAGCATCATTTGGTCTCATATTTTTACCACAGATACATATCTTGTCACTCAGTGTAGTCTAAATGTTTCAGCCATTGACAAAACTGCAGTATTTTGTTGTTCATAACTAGAAAATATTACAGTTTTTTGTTGAAGATAGTTGTACTACTTTAAAGCAGTTTTTGACAATTGTTCTCTTCTAAATATGAACTATGCATACTCTTCTATCAGTAGTAAAAGTATCAGCCCATTTGGTCAAAATATGGTTGAGATATGTATTCAAAGTTTTCTTTGTGGAGTTACTTTCTGGACACCCTATATTATATATCAATCGATAGAGCTGATCGAGGTACATTAGATACGACATGCCGCGTCATTGGCACACATTCCTCTACGAATCGGTTAAGTGAATACTCCCTCTTAATTCATTCAAGCAAAAGTTTTAGCAATGATAGAAGTTGAATTTTAATGTTTTTCATGATGTGTTTTATGTCAATCGAGAGATATGGTCGAAGCTCAATGGCTGATAGGAGTTTGGTATAAAATTCACATTATGAGTCATTGGTTGGAGTACTTGTTGCAGTACAGCACAAATCGAAGACTGTAGAAAACTTTTATGCTAAAGTTTGATTTGTGTAATGACAAATTATATATCATTCAATAGAGCTCGTTAAACTGAATCGAATGGGATTATTTTCCCGTGTGGTACAACTTATGTAACGAATTGGGATATGAAACGCTTCCTGAAATGCTAATTTTAGATGTACACTAAAATATAAATCTTCATTGATTCAATTTATCAGGGCTTATTATACACCATTAGATAGAGCTTGTTGAATTACATCGATTGATTCAAATTTGAAAAGTGACACAAGTCGTGAATCGAATATTTCTGGAAAATATGTATTTTGCATTTTTTCCCCATGATGAAAAATTATATTTTATGGTTTTTTTCTTTGTTATGGATTTCGTTTTTAGAAGTAAATATACCATTCGGTAGAGCTCATTGAACTCTATCTGGCACACAACATTCCGTAGTTGGCACAGTTGATTGTGCGAATCGATCTAGAAAAAACTCGAATACTTCGCTGACTTCCCTTACATAAATTTTTTATAATTTTTAAATAAAGATTAAAAATTTTTTTATTTTTCCAAAAATAAAAATAAAAAAAAATTAAGATAAATGAAATCTTCATATGTACAAAATAAAAGTATAGATTTTTTTCTTATTTACCACCTTTATATAAAGTAAAGAAAACAAAAAATATATTATGAAGAAACCTCTTCTATGAGAATTTCATCTTTAATTTTTCACCAAGTAGCTCACCAAAAAGGTGCGACACCATAGATGGAAATTGTTTTGTGTATTCGCTTGATTCTCTAATGATATAACATGTCGAAGTGGTATTCATGGCAAGAAAGAATATTGCTTCACATATCCAGTTGTTATACTATGTAATTGTCTATTTATCTATAATATGACAAATCTTTCTTTATTCTTTAATTTTCAAAAATAAATAATTCATCTATCTTCATTTTATAAATATAAAGATTTATTTTTATTTATACTTATTCTTTCCTATAATGCAGAAATAAAGTTATAACTGAAAAACAAAGTTTCGTTGTGCTGAATTCCATAAAGTCAGCCGAATTTTCGACATAAAATTTTAGAGAACTCATATGTCTTCTGTTATGCTTTATGAAATTTTTTAAGTGCGTCGTGGTCTTCTAACATAAAATATGATCTTCTATTCTTGACTTGTGTTTGATAAAAATCGACCATCTTTTAATTTCATCGATTAAAATTAGGTCTTCTGAATGGAAGGCAACTTTTCTTTCTTGTAGTTTTTTCTGTGCTCATCAAATTTTTAAGGAAGTAATCATTTCATATTCAGATTTCTTAAGATGTGTAGCAGAAAAAAAAACTCGATTACATTTCTAATCAACTTCATTTTATAAGCAAGGTTGAATTCATTCAAAATTATTTGTGAAATGACAATCAAAATGAATTGAAGATGAAATAATTAGATTAAAATCGACTAAAAACATTCGCATTTTAATCGATAGTTTAATCAGAAAAACTAAACCGGAATTAGCCTTTTTTTTTAAATTTTTTTGGCATAGGATAAACGTTTTTGTCCTGCCAGCCAGTCTCTGGTTCAGACCCAATACGACATCCTAAAGGTTTTAGCTCAACCGATTAGTAGAAGAAGATTAATAACTGAAATTTTCTAACTAATATGTATTATTTAAAAGAAGTTGTACCTCTTTTGTACATTGAACGTTGATTTAAAATAATTAAGTGTTTCTTCCAAATTTTTTAATAAATCTTATGTAGAAATAAGATTTACTATTGATTTTATAGAAAATAATGTTGTTGAAAGTAATCGTTCAAAATTAACTTTTGTATCTTTATTTGTGTTTAATATTATTGATGAATCTTTATCATTCTCTAAAAAAAAATGAATGCATTCAGACAAGACATGATCCAACACATTCTTCAAATATAAAACTTTAGAACTCCTTTCTTCTACGAAAGCTGAAATATCAATTATAGAAAATGATCTTCTGCTCAAAAAAAACTGATGATTGTGAAGTTTTTCGCAATAGTTCAAGAACATTAATAAAATAATTCAATTTTTGAATAACTTAAATCATTTGTACTACTTTAAAAACATTTTTCATTTGTTAAGATTTGATAAATCTTCAAAAAATTAAATTATTATTATCGAGTAATAATTGTAAATTATTAAGATCATTTCATATAAATAGATGTATAACTAAACAAAGTTCATCATATTGATTATGAAAAAAATGATCGAATTGTTGTTGATCCTAAAACGTTTGAAAGAGCATAAATACCTTCTACACATCCAACTTATATAAAAGACAAAAATAACAAACAATTTATATTCGAGTGGATGTTTGAGTTAAACAATCAAATATTAATGTTGGTAAGCATGATATTGTTTCACATTGCACTCCATCATTGAATATAATTACAGAAGTATTTGTTTGTTGTAATGAATAATGAATTTTATGCATCCATTGACAGGAAGAATTGATCCATTTAGGTAAATAATGTATTGACCATTGATATACTAAAAAAATGAATTGTGATCAACAAACCTTAAAATCAAAAAGTAGTTAGTAACTAACTTAATACAATAAAATCGACTGATGCATTGTTCAACTTCGAAAATAAAACTACCTAGTTAACTAACATCTCTACAATTGACATACTTAGCAAAAGTTAAAGTAGCTACTGGACGAACACTTGTATCATTATCAGTAAGAAATAGAAAGATAATAACAATACAATGATCAAGTCATGATCGATTCTAAAAATAAAAGTAAAACAAAAAAAAACAAGACATTGTTTTTATCTTCTATATATGATTAGTTTTAATTTACTGTTTTTTTTTATCTGTTATTGTTGTTGTTCAAGATAAGTTAGTATTCGAGAAAATCAATATTACGCACAATTTGAGCTAGAGCAACTTATTTTATACACATAAACAGTTTATTGTAATCATAAGTTTCATTTGTCTACTTTAGCAAGAATATAAGAACTTGTACTATGTTGAGTAGAATCTTATAATAATTTAATTCCTATGATTGTAAATGTATAACATGTGCATTATTATCCTAAAGACATAATCGAAATTTAGAAAGTAATTCTGCTAATATACCTAATTGAATATATTTAAAAACAAAAAGAAAAAATATTTTTATCAAAAACAAGAGATGATTTAATATTCTAATCTAACTTTGAACTGTCTTGTGAATCAATTGATACAAGTGAATATTCATTAATAAAAGAATTATTAAATGAATTTGATAATGATAATAGTCTTAAAAGATGAATTGTTCTTTTTAATTAATGTAGCAAGGAAAGAAATTTCCATATGTATCACATAAATGTAGATCGTCTACCTCGATGTTCGATAGTTTTTAATCCATTACAAGTCATATAGAGATAAGAATTTCATATCAATTACAAAATTTTTATTTAATCAGAAATCTTCAAAGATTAAAGAAAAACTCATTCGAGAATACAATTGATTTCATATCATAATGAAAAACCGAACATCTCTTTCGTACTAGATATGTACAGAATTCGTACTTTAACTTCGAACTTTGTTTTTGAGGTAATTATGTGATTGTATAATTTCAATCTCTGACATATATAAATGCAGCCTCTGAACTCTAAAACTTTTGTATGTCTAACCTATTTAGTAAAATGCTCTACTCTTTTGTTGGTTTCAAAAAGATTAAAATTTCATATCGTTTTGTTTCAACAATTCAATAGTAAAATCTTCATATCTATCAGATAACTTTCACTAAAACTTTGAGACCATAACCAATTGAAGTCACGCTAACTAAACTCTGTTACAAGCTCCTTCATCAGATTTATCCTATTCATCTGAGTTCTCCTACTGTTACAACATTGGAAATAATTTTGGATTATAAAATAAATGTATTTTACTGAACTGAAACTTTACAAAAAAAAAGTCTCAAACAAGCATTAAACATACTTGCAGTTGGATAATCAAATTATTAACACATTGAGCAAATGTCTAATTGAAAAAAAAAACATAATTGATTAACAAGTTTAGCAACTGATGTTTGTTTTTCATTATTAATCATTGATTTTGAATATAATTTATCATTCATTTTATATACTAAAATGTCGTGTTGTTTATTCATTTCAATAAATCAACGTTGATATGTTGAATAATCTATTATTTTAGAAAAAATAAAAACGTGTTGTTCTCTTTTCACAATATTTACCTGTGTTTAATGTGTGACTAATACAAGTTGCTTCTATAGATCCAATTTGAATTGAAATTAATAATTGATCAAAATCAAATAAATTTAAATATAATTTCATGTGTTTCCAATAAATTTCAAATTACAATATGATCTTTTATGTTGTAAACAAATATAAAATATCATATCAACATATTACAAAATAAAGATTTACATAGAAAATAAAATCATTCATTATTTGTCAAATACTGATTGAAAGATGTTGTTCATTGGTACCAATATTTCTAGTTCTTGTTATTGATCATTGACTTTTTCTTGATGATGATTGAAATTTATTGATATTTAATTTAAGATAACCAATTATTAAAATTTTACTATGATTTTGATCATAATGCTCTAATAATTGATCTGTTAAAATAAAAGACAAATTATAATTAACTGAAATAATTATTTGAAAGAAAACTTACCAATTACATTTAACATTAGAAAACGTGCTATAATCATAGGACAACATATTGACTGAATAGGACATGAGAGGTTCCTGAAAATTATTTATTATTAATATTAGGAAAAAAAAAAGAAAAATTCATTCTCACTCAACTTCATACCTTAACTATAACGATTGTTAGTGAATCAACTATGACTAATTTATTTCATTTCTCATTGATATTTAATGATAAATAAAATTTTATTATACTTACTGCAAATGATGGACAGTTTCTCAATCGGTATTTCGTCGAATAGTATGTGACTACCTATTCTACAATCATTTTCTATGTTTCTATTCAATCGCATAACTTTTTTCTGATTACTTCTTTAGAAGAGGTTTCTTAGATGACAAGAATTTTCTTTTTTACTTACTTTGATTTTTTCATCATTAATTGATCAACCAAGAATATAAAAAATAAGTTCATTATATTCTGATAAAATGGTTGAATATTTTTGCGAATGTGTTACATTTGCTGATTCGTCAAATCGCCATAGGATATCTAATTGAAATTGAAATAAAACAAACCTTTGAATGCTTTTTATTCAACATTAGGATTATCTTTTATAATCCTTTATTATAATTCATACAAAATCATTAAAAAAAAAGAATTTCTTTTATAATACTTTTACAATAGTCGTAACTGATTTAGAATTATTTTCACCTTTATCTCTAGATCAAAAAAAACTTTCGATAACATGTTGTTGTTGAAAATAATTTTAAAACTTCAAGTGATTTACTTAGTTTATCTATTTTGTTTATTTTATATTGAATTCATTCATTTTAAAGCTAAATAAATAAGTTTAAACATTTTTTGATAATAATAAGAAATGAATGAATAGTTGACGGAAAAAGTCTAACGTCGATTGAATATTCACTTTCATCAATCGACGAACGAAAAACTATTCTACAAATCTTTATATTAGATCCATAATTTTGACTGTAAATTATTATTTAAAAAAAATCAACTACTGCACTTGTTCTATTTGAACTCCTGTTTTATTATATTATATTCAATCAATATGATCGTAAAATAATATTTTTGTAAAACCTGATGTAATAAATAGCAAAATGATTAAATTTATAAAAATTTCTTTTTCATTTTCTTCTTTCAATTATCTCTTATATATGCGTATGTTACTAATCAAAGAGAATAGTCGATAATTTTTATTTTTTGTGTTCTTCTTTCCTTCAATCATCACTCGTATAATATGATATTGAGTGCACGGCATCTCATTTGTTCTTACACATTCCAGACGAAACGAAAAATAAATTGAACATAACATGTGTAAAGACGACATAGATATCGTGCACTCAATATCACAGCATGCGTTAAAACAACCGGTTGTTATCATACGCTGCGTATTAAAATTCCGTCAACGTCGTCTTTCTTCGCGTTTCTGTATTTCTTCTCGTTCTTCGTAATAGAAGAAAAAAAAATTTAAAACAAACGGAGCTTTTGAGGGTGGCTCTAAAACAAAGTGAACCTTCCCAGGGATATCCGACGTTCTGTTGGTAACCTGTACAGGCGTGTAGATGGTAGGCCTTTATAACATACATCTATGTATGTATGACTAGAAGCATCCATCGCGTCATCGTCTTTCCGAAGATGATGATCATGGATGTACTAGTCATACATACATAAATGTGTGTTTGCCTTATTATTGCCAGCTTTGTCCACTGTACAACCCAACAGAATACGGAGGGTATCCCTAGTCGCGCGTGCGCGAAGTTATTGCAGCTGGTACGCTTTGGGGAGCTAAACGTGTTCAAGAAGGTCAATTTATTTTGTCTTTTGAAAAGCACAAAAAGTAATTACATTCTGTTTTTTACGCGCCCAACATTATTTTGTGATTCTTGAATTTTAGGATGTGCCGCCGGGAGAGATTTTTCGCGGAGATCAAGCGCTTTTCGTAGAAACGAGAGTGCTTTTGAGTAGTCACCTATGTTTTCATGAACCAAGCCAATGTTATTGTATGGATTTGCCAAATCAGGGTGATTCGCAGGAAGAGCGAATTTTAGAATACTTAGCGCGCGCTCAAGGAAAGAAAGCGCTTTCGAGTAGTCACCCATCTGATTATAAACTTCTCCAATGTTGTTGTAGGACGAAGCCAAGCCAGGATGATTCGGAGGGAGAGCTATTTTACGGATTTCAAGTGATCGTTCGTGCGATGAAAGTGCTTTCGAGTACTCGCCCATGTGATTATAAACTTCTCCAATGTTGTTGTAGGAAGAAGCCAAGTCAGGATGATTCGGAGGGAGAGCTATTTTACGGATTTCAAGTGATCGTTCGATTGATGAAAGTGCTTTCGAGTACTCGCCCATGTCATCATACACCGAACCGATGTTGTTGTAGGAAGCAGCCAAGTCAGGATGATTCGGAGGGAGAGCTATTTTTCGGATTTCAAGTGATCGTTCGAATGATGAAAGTGCTTTCGAGTACTCGCCCATGTTATTATACACTGCACCGATGTTGTTGTAGGAAGTAGCCAAGTCGGGATGATTCGAAGGGAGAGCTATTTTTCGGATTTCAAGTGATCGTTCGATTGATGAAAGTGCTTTCGAGTACTCGCCCATGTTATAATACACCAAACCGATGTTGTTGTATAAAGTAGCCAAGTCGGAATGATTTGGAGGGAGAGCTATTTTTTTGATTTCAAGTGATCGTTCGAATGATGAAAGTGCTTTCGGGTACTCGCCCATGTTATCATACACCGAACCGATGTTGTTGTAGGAAGAAGCCAAGTCGGGATGATTTGGAGGAAGAGCTATTTTTCGCATTTCAAGTGATCGTTCGTACGATGAAAGTGCTTTCGAGTACTCGCCCATTCTATTATACACCCCTCCGATGTTGCTGTAGGAACTAGCCAAGTCGGGATGATTTGGAGGGAGAGCTATTTTTCGGATTTCAAGTGATCGTTCGTACGATGAAAGTGCTTTCGAGTACTCGCCCATACTATTATACACCATACCGATGTTGTTATAGGAACTAGCCAAGTCGGGATGATTTGGAGGGAGAACTATTTTTTGGATTTCAAATGATCGTTCGAATGATGAAAGTGCTTTCGAGTACTCGCCCATGTTATAATACACCAAACCGATGTTGTTGTAGGATTGAGCGAAGTTGGGATGATCTGGAGGGAGAGCAATTTTTTGGATTTCAAGTGATCGTTCGAATGATGAAAGTGCTTTCGAGTGCTCGCCCATGTTATCATACACCAAAGCGATACCTTGGTAGGAACCAGCCATGTCGGGATGATTCGGAGGGAGAGCTATTTTTCGGATTTCAAGTGATCGTTCATACGATGAAAGTGCTTTTGAGTACTCGCCCATGTTATTATACACTGCACCGATGTTGATGTAGGAACCAGCCAAGTCGGGATGATTCGGAGGGAGAGCTATTTTTTGGATTTCAAGTGCTCGTTCGTGCGATGAAAGTGCTTTCGAGTACTCGCCCATGTTATTATACACATTACCGATGTTGCCGTAGGAAGAAGCCAACGAGGGATGATTCGGAGGGAGAGTTTTCTCGTAAATATCCAAAGATTTTTGATAAAATTTGATGGCCTCATTGTATTGTCCTAGATCACCCTTAATCACTCCAAGGCAGTGATAACAATAGGATTCATCATTTTCATTTGATGCCTCGTTGAGTAACATGTGGTACAATTGTTCGGCTTTATTATTCTCGCCGAGTTTCCATAACAATGTACCCATTTTTCGCCATCCTGTACTAGTAATCTCTTGTCGTATACGTTTAATGAGAGTACTTAGTTGTTGGTCATCACTAGCATTGGTGAGAGAAAGTTTTACTCTCCAAAATTTGATCCCATCATGTTCCTTTTCTTCGATTTGACGAACACGAAAAACTGTATGCATGGAAAATAAAATTTCATTCTCTGTCTTGAAATAACTATATTTGTTAATGCTAGCAAACGGTGCTGCTGCTGATGATGAAATCGATTGATCAATATTCATTTTGAATAGAACACCAGTTTTCTTACTATTAGACTCGAGTCCTTCCTTAATAAATCTAATAGCTACTGTTCGATCGGTACTTGTTGAAAGGAAATTATTGAATGATAAAAGGCCACCTTGCTTAATTTTATTAAAATCTTCTTGAGTCATTGCTTTACCTCGATACACTGTAATTTCTTTTGTTGTACCATCGGACATTTCATTTGTTTGTTCTGCATGAAGTTTTTCGATGTTTCGATGTAGGTCCCGAATGAAGATGCCCATTTTAAGAAGGGTTTCTACTTGTAATTTACCCAATGCTTTATTTAGCATATGATATATGAAGCACTCCCGAGTATACCACCAAACAGGCTTGTTATTTTCATCCAAATGACTTCGATAGTCTCGAACGAATTCATCAATTATTGCCAAGTGCTCGTCATTCCCAGCGTATTTTTCACGTGCATATTCGGCTAGTTCGTTGATTTCTTTGTTTCCGTCAAAATCGATCTCTAGAATAATTTCTTTGAAAAGTTGTGTATACATGAACAATGGTTCGATTTGATTCAATGATGATACAGCATTAACGACGATAGAATCTTCGTCACATTGTCGAGCAGATTGTCGAACTGCATCACAAATTGGAATAATTTCAGTGAAAATACCTTTCACTTTGGACCAGTCTTTTGCCCATTCTTCATATTTTTCTTTTTTTCGACAGAATACATAAATTGAATAGAGTTGTGTCATATTATGAACGCGTGGCACAACAGATTCACATAATGCACCAGAAATAATCAAAAATGCTTTTTCATTTTCAAGTTCTGATATATAATTGATACATTCTTCTGTATCTCGATATGGTTTGATTGTATTGACGGTACGTTGCAAATGCTTGATTGAATTACGATAGTCTTCATTAGATTCATCAATTTTAGCATCAAGCCAAAGCAAAAGAAAATTTTGAATAATTTCATTTTTATCAGTTCGACGACGATCTCGTTTTGGATTTTGATTTAAATCAGATTGTTGATTTAATGTAGTAGATGATGTTGGTAATAATGATGAACGTTCGTTGGGTAGATTGCCTATTGGCATTGGCGAGGATGCTCCACAGCCCATATTGATTGATTGTATGTGACGTAAATATAGATAATAAATATTAAAGAATGTTAATCTGAATCACAAATGAATGAATGAAAATGCTAATCAAAGAGAATGAAAGCTTCTTGGTTTATTTTATCATCTATCAATGTTCTTTTACTTTTGTGCTTTTTTTTCGACAGTGAGACATGTTACCTAGCGTTAATTTGAAAAAGACGAAGGAAGGAGGAGCATTGTTTTATATGATTGTAAATTTATTTTGTCTTATTTACACGGTTCCTTACCAATTAATCTATTATAATTTGCTCTTACCTTTTAATCCATTACAATTTTATATATTGAAGATAAGTGATTTTCTCGAGATTCGAACATGAAA